TTCCCTCATGGATCTAAAATCTCATAGATTTGTGCAAATACTTAGTAATTTAATTAAGACTTAATTCAAGATTATTTTTTCTATTTTCTATTTTCTAAATAAATGTTCTCCCTTCTTCTTTTTTCTTAAGGAATCTAGGTAAAAATGGCTTATCTAACAGTAGCATTTTGTTGGATAAATGTCCGCCTCCAAGACCACCATCTTCACCATACCCTCCCTTGCCAAAGGACAAGTTGAATCCACCTACACCTAGTATTTATGTGAGTCTGAATTGACTGACTAGAAATAAATCAAACTAGTATTTCCACCTACCTATCTTTCATAAAATGTTTCTTTGAATTGATATTGATGCCCTTTAAGAAACATTTTAGTTATTGGCAGCAGCTCTAATATTTGGGGGAGAGGGAATGGATGTATTCAAAAAATTTTATAATAGACTTCTTTTTTTTAAAGAGGTTTTTGCTTTAGGGCAATGCACTTGGCAGAGAGACAGACAGACAGACAGACAGACAGTGAAAGGGAAAGTGAGAAATCACCCCCCAGGTGGGATAGCCATGCCGCAATCCCTTCTCCTCCATTCTCCTCCCAGGATCTTGGGTATACACACACATGTGCTTGGCATGATTTTCAAGCCACTGGGTCTAGGACACAAACCACAGTTGGCCACGTGGGAGTCCAGCAACTTAGACACTACGCCACCTGCTGGCTCCATAATAACCTTTTTAAAATGTCCTCTCAGTTTGTAACTAAATATATTAGAATAGTGAGGAATCATTTTTACTGCCCTAATCCTGAATACTATTAGGCAAAAGCTACCCAAAAGTGTGACATTTTTGAGTAAGTAGGACCTTAAATCTGCATACTACTAAATATATAGACTTTTATACTCATTGTTTTATATACCTATCAAAAATATATCTACCATCAAAACAAGTGTTTGAGAACATAATATATAATAATATGTATATATCACTAAATAGTTTAATAGGTTACTTAAAATTGGATATTAGTTTTGCTTTATAGAAATTTAGACATCTGATATAGGAGGTTGATAAGAATTCAATAAAAGTGCTCCTGTTTTGTTTTAGTGGTCTTCTTACCCCATTTTTTTTCATCTTCCCACTTCTATCCCAAATGAAAAATGTTTAAAGCATAAAGTTAGAGTAATATGCTTAGAATATCTTGCATCTGTGAAATGATACTAGAGTTCATTTTAGAGATTTGACCCGTTTGTCAAATGTTATAATAATCTTTCCTCCAACCAGTAATTATTGCTCTCATTATGTATGGGAAACATTGGGATAAGTATAAAGTAAAACCTTCAGCTGAAGTCTACAGGAGGAAATTGCAAAATTAAGATTTATCTTTTGGGTATCTTCAACTTGCTTTTATTTTGTTAAATTTTTTTGGACACTTTATTTTTTTTCCATCTCTTTTAATTGTTGATTTTTTTTTTTCAAACATACACAACATAAAATTTGCCATCTTAACCAGTTCTAAGTATACAGTTAGTTCAGCACTGGTAAGCATATCCACATTGTTGTGCAAACAATCTTTAGAACTTTTTCATCTTGCCAAGCTGAACCTGACCATTGAATGAATCCCCTCCACATAGTCCCTGGCAACCGCCATTCTATTTTGTTTCTATGAATTTGACCACTTATAAAGTGGGATCATACAGTATTTGTCTTTTTGTGGCTTAGTTTATTTCATTTAACATAATATCTTCAAGGTTTGCCTATGAACTTGATGGGATTTTCTTTTTTTTTTTTTTTAAAGAGGCTATGTAATTTTTAAAACACCTTGATTTTTAAGTTTAATTTCAGTTTCATTTCTTCCACATACTCTTTTCAAAATATATGGAAAAGAGAAACGTACGTGGTTACTGTCTGTTTATAATTTGACTCCAAAGACATATTGATAAAATACTATAAAACAGAAATACTAACATTTAAGATGCATTATTTAAATTGTGATATGAATATGAATGGAGTATAATATTTAAATAAAAGCTCTGTTTTCTTAAGATCTAACTACATATATTTAATTTTGCAGTTGGAAAATAAACGTGATGCTTTCTTTCCTCCATTACATCAATTTTGTACAAATCCAAATAACCCTGTTACAGTAATTCGTGGCCTTGCTGGAGCTCTTAAGTTAGGTAAGCTTTAAGTAAATAAAAGAAAATGTTTGTATATTTCTTTTGCTATCTTTTAACTTCTAAAGCACAAGCAGAAATTTCCTTTCTTTTTTTTTTTTTTCCTTTTCTTTTTTGTATTTTTATTTAAATATTTTTCTGGGTCTGAGTGTGTGTGTTTGTGTGTATCACTTCTTTAATTCATGCTGTGAGTATACCATGATGATATTAGTTACTAGAGATTCTGTAGTAGCCTTTATTTTGGTCTAAATATACAGTTAGGATTTAGGTTAACTAATAGAAAAAAATTGAAAGAATAAACTATAGGTGACATTTGATGCTCCTAATAAGTACTGTAGCACCATAAATATTTCCTGCCATCTGCAGAACTTAAATAAATAAACACAACTTCAGTCCTCAGACCCTTGATTGTTTTTCTCTATTGGGATGTCATGACAGTTAGGTCCAGGGCGTCAGTGTATGGTTCAGCAATCTTGGCACATAATTTAGGGTGTGCAAGGTCCCTGATTGGTATTTAGGGAAACCGGATGCTATAAAATATTTTCTCTTTTTTCTGTTTCTTTTTTTAAAAAAGAAAAGGCACTTTAAAATATAATTCCAAATGTAATTTTTATTAACTATTTTTATTTATTTACAAAGACCTGGGACTTTTCTCTACTAAAACTTTGGAAGAAGCAAACAATGAACATATGGTAGAAGTGAGGACACAGTTGTTGCAGCCAGCAGATGAAAATTGGGATCCTACTGGAACGAAGAAAATCTGGCATTGTGAAAGTAATAGATCTCATACTACAATTGCTAAATATGCACAATACCAGGCCTCCTCGTTCCAGGAATCATTGAGAGTAAGTATTTATCTCCTGAAGATTATTCTAGGGTTATAAAGATTATTTTATTTTCGAATTTTGAGAAGACACATTACTTTTGAAAGTATCTTATTACTTTATGTTACATGAAATATTTTCTAAGTGCTATCCAATTTGCTCTTAATAAAGTCTAGGCAAACCTATGAGTTAATAGAGTAAATACCATTGCAGGGAAGTATAATTGCTGTGTAGTGAGATGTCTCCTTCATTCCTGGGATATTTCTGTTTAGAGTTGAGTTTCTTTACTACAGCACTGTTGACATTTTGGTCTGGATAATTCTTTGTTGTGGGGACCTATTCCATGTGTTGTAGAATATCGAGTAGCATCGCTGGTCTCGCAAAAAATATGTCTCCAGGATACCAGGTATTCCCTGGAGAGGAAAATTGCTCCTGGTTGAGAAACACTGATTATAGGATAAACTAAGCCTCAAGTTTGCTTTTAAGCTTACAAAATCCATAGCCTGTATCTTCCCATTTTTATCTTTTACCAGGTTAATATTACCTGTTAGATAACTCCTCCAGAAAGCATTAGTGTTCCTATCTTTTGTTTTTCTTTTTTTAATTATTATTATTATTAGTTTGCTATAGAGTGTGTGTGCTTGCTGGAACAAGACAGAGGGAAGGTGAGAAATCACCCTCAGAGGATGGCCACGCTACCGTTCTTTCTCCATTCTCTTGGAATTTTGCATACACACATATACATACCTGATTTTTTTTTTTTTTTAGCTTGGAAACAACAATATTAAGAAACTATTACGGCTCCATAAAAACATTTTTTGTTCATTGAAATTTTTATTTTACCGAAGCAATTTTGTTTATTAACGAAATTTATTTATTTATGAAGATCTTGGACTTTTCTCTACCAAAACTTTGGTTGAAGCTAACAATGAACATATGGTAGAAGTAAGGACACAGCTATTGCAACCTGCAGATGAAAATTGGGATCCTACTGGAACGAAGAAAATCTGGCATTGTGAAAGTAATAGATCTCATACTACAATTGCTAAATATGCACAATACCAGGCCTCCTCGTTCCAGGAATCATTGAGAGTAAGTATTTATCTCCTGAAGATTATTCTAGGGTTATAAAGATTATTTTATTTTTGAATTTTGAGAAGACACATTACTTTTGAAAGTATCTTATTACTTTATGTTACATGAAATATTTTCTAAGTGCTATCCAATTTGCTCTTAATAAAGTCTAGGCAAACCTATGAGTTAATAGAGTAAATACCATTGCAGGGAAGTATAATTGCTGTGTAGTGAGATGTCTCCTTCATTCCTGGGATATTTCTGTTTAGAGTTGAGTTTCTTTACTACAGCACTGTTGACATTTTGGTCTGGATAATTCTTTGTTGTGGGGACCTATTCCATGTGTTGTAGAATATCGAGTAGCATCGCTGGTCTCGCAAAAAATATGTCTCCAGGATACCAGGTATTCCCTGGAGAGGAAAATTGCTCCTGGTTGAGAAACACTGATTATAGGATAAACTAAGCCTCAAGTTTGCTTTTAAGCTTACAAAATCCATAGCCTGTATCTTCCCATTTTTATCTTTTACCAGGTTAATATTACCTGTTAGATAACTCCTCCAGAAAGCATTAGTGTTCCTATCTTTTGTTTTTCTTTTTTTAATTATTATTATTATTAGTTTGCTATAGAGTGTGTGTGCTTGCTGGAACAAGACAGAGGGAAGGTGAGAAATCACCCTCAGAGGATGGCCACGCTACCGTTCTTTCTCCATTCTCTTGGAATTTTGCATACACACATATACATACCTGATTTTTTTTTTTTTTCTGAGAGATTTTTTCGCTATAGGGCGCGTGCGCTCACCAGACAGACAGAGAGAGACATAGAGACAGAAAGCGAGAAATCATCCCCCAGGGGGGGATGGTCACGCCGCAATCCCTTCTCCTCCATTCTCCTCTCGGGATATTGGGCACACACGCACATGCACCCGGCGTGAGTTTTAAGCCATCGGGTCCGGGACTCGAACCATGGTCGACTACGTGGGAGTCCAGTGACATAGCCATTATGCTAACTGCTGGTCCCCATACCTGATGAATTTTACAAGCCACTGGGTCCGGGACTCAAACCACACAGTCAGCCACGTGGGATCCAGCCTCCTTAGCCTCTATACCACCTGCTGGCATGCATTAGTGTTCTTTTAGTTGTTAAGAGAAAACTGAGGGAAAGGAAGAAATTACAGAAATCTCTTCCAAATACATTAGGTATCGGGAAAGTCATGACATATTTATCTGTTTTTCTATGCAAAAATGTGTCATGACTTTCCCAATGAACAAATAAATAAAATTTCAAAACAAAAATTAAAAAAAAATAAATCTAGAGGATTATTTATTTATTTTTAAGAGATAATTTTGCTATAGGGTATGTGTGCTCATTGGAGAGACAGAAAGCAAGAAATCACTTCCTTGGGGATGGCCATGCCATAGTCCCTTCTCCTTCAGTCTCCTCTTGGGATTTTGGACACACACATACGTGCGCCCTGTGTGAGATTTAAGCCACTGGGTCTGGGACTTGAACTGTGGTCAACTACATGGCAGTCCAGTGACATAACCATTACACCATCTGCTGGTCCTTAGAGAATTATTATTAAAAGATCCATGTAGACCCTTCTGCACTGAAGCATTATTAAAATCTCCTAGTACTGTAATGCAAACTCTGTGAATTCTCCAATAAAGTGAATGTAAAACATTACAGAAATTATTTTATTAAATGTGTTACTCAAATCTTTATTTATAGTTGAGTTGTTCTTTACATGTCCTATAGCTGACACTTAAAATGAAACTGAAAGTCTTTCATTTGTACTTTATTAGATTTGTTCATCTTTTAAAAATGTCTAAAATTCTGCCCGGAGTTGACATTTTCAGTCAAGGTAGCATTTGTATAAATTGTATATTTGTGTTTCTTTCCCACTGCTGCTCCCTATATTCAACAAAGAAATTCATCTAATAAAATCTGTCCTGCAACTTTGATGAGTTGCATTGAATTTATTGTTTGTATACGTCTCTGCAGTTCAGCCTTTCAAGATATTTCAACTACATGGTAGTATTATGATCAGTACATAGTAGTATTATGATCAGAATAGCATAAATAATAAATAGGATTCAGAGATCCTCAAAGGAAAATTTGGAGAAAGGACTGAAAAGCAAAAATAATTAAAAGCAGAATATTTAAATGAGAAGGGATCCATAAACCAAAGAGAGTATGCTTTTTTAGTATGCTTTGAGGCATGTGCTATCACATGTGAAAAGTTAGACAAATATTTTAAACTATACATTTAAAGGGGAGGAAAGCCAAAATGTAAGTATTAATTTAAAAATTAAAGACAGTGTTAAGAAAGATACCATGCCTGTGACACAGAATTGTAAATAAAAGTAACGTTTACATTGAAAATCATCTTTATTTATCCCACACTTAATTTTCTTACTAGTGTTTTATTGTTTTACATTGTAGGAGAAAGATTTAACCCAAGCTTTTAATGAAATTATAATCCCTTCTTGCATTTAAAAAAAAAAAAAGAAGAAAATGATATAACCCACGAAGAACTTTTTTTATTTTATCCACAATCAAGTCCAGAGAACATCTCATCCTCTACTCTTATACCTCTGCTATCTTACAATATTTATTATCAAGATGGGATTTCTTGGGTCTCTCACCTTTGTTTAAGTTTTCTCTTATCTTGAAAATGAGATAGCTATGAAAATTTATAGTATAACTTTGTAGCTGGTGGAGGTGGTTGGATATTGTGCCAGTGAGATTTGACTTTTCTTGGGATTTTATTTAATGTGGTCTTCAGAGAAGTTTTCATGTGTAAGAGGGCTATAGAAACTTGGTTTCAGGGCCAGTCCCATGGCCTAGCAGTTAAAGGAACCCGATCACACATGTGATTCCATGTGACTGAGTGTATAGTTCCAATACTGGACTCAGCAACTTGAAAAGCGCACCAGACACCTTTGAATATGTGCCCCAAATCCCAAAGAATGGAGAAATGGAGGATGAGATTGTGATGTGACCTTGCACCATTGAGGAGTGCTTTCTCCCTCTCTCTCATCTCTCTGATGAGCACACACATCCTGCAGCAAGTTAAAATAAATAAATAAAAGAAACAGTTTCAAAACAAAGAAAACTCGGCTATTCAATCTAGATGTGAATGATAGAAAAGATAGACACTCATGGAATCCTAAACTAGAATTCTTTTTGCTTAATCCATAGGAAGAAAATGAGAAAAGGAGTCATCATAAAGACCATTCAGACAGTGAATCTACGTCTTCAGATAAGTAAGTCATTTTTAATATCCACTTCATATTTCTATCTGAAAGACATGTTTCTAATATTGTCTCTCTCTTTTCAAGTTCTGGGAGAAGGAGGAAAGGACCCTTTAAAACCATAAAGTTTGGGACCAACATTGACCTGTCTGATGACAAAAAGTAAGTCTTTGTCATAATATTTTATGACCTGATGCATAGAGCTATTCCTTGCAAGAATAATGGAAATAATGTACAATTTTCTCTTCTGTTTGATTCCTTGTAATTTTTCTAAGCTTTCATTCTAATTTAAGACAAAGTTTCTTTGGTAGGTTTTGTGATTAAATGTTTTCTTTGACTTGAAACTCTTGAATAGTTTTTCATCAAGACCGATGTTATGCTACTTATATAATCATAAAATTGTATTTTTAATTATATGAAATACAATTATTTAAAAATACATACTTATATGTTTATCTAACACAGCTATAAAAATAGAAAGTCAGTTCCCTTCCACACACTTACTTGATCCATTATGTTTATGGTTCTTTGGGGAAGTTTCTTTAAAAAAAAAAAAATTAAATGTAAGCAATTTCATAGTTCCTGTGTAAAAGTAAAATATTTATGGGTTTTGGGCCAGCAGGTGACGTCAGTGGTTAAAGGTTCTGGATTCCCACATGGCTGACTGTGGTTCAAGTCCCAGACCTAGAGGCTTGCTTTCTCACTTTCCCTTTCTCTCTCTCTCTGGTCATATTAAAATAATAATAAGAAGAACAACAAATGGAATTAAATAAATAAATGAATAATTCTTTAAAAATAAAAAAAATATATTTATGGATTTAATTGTTTATCTGATTGGAACACAGGGATTTTGAAGAAGTGGCTACCTTCACAAATATTTGTAGCAGGGTTTCAGTCTCGATCTGTTATTTCATTACAGGTGGAAGTTACAGCTACATGAGCTGACTAAACTTCCTGCTTTTGTGCGTGTTTTTTTTTCAGGAAATCTTCTAAGCCATGTTGGTCATACCATACTGGGCATGAACACAGTTCAACTATACATGAAAGTTCCAGGAAGCAGAACACCAGGTAATTTCTATGAACTAGTACATCTTATACAGTTGAAAAACAAAATATGAATCCTATATAGAAAACCAGAATATTTTCATTTATAATAAATAAGACCGAAAGGATTATTCCTATTATAAGATTATGCTTTTTAACTAGACTCAGAGAATTAAGATTTTTTTCCCTGTTTGCATTATCTGTTTTGTTTTATTTGCCCAGAAACAATAGCAATTCAATCTGGAAAGGAGTTATTGAGCATTCCTGGGAAAATAAGTCCCTTGGCCAGAAGACTTTGTTTTTGATCCCATCTACTACAGAGTGATGGAGTATAGTGTTTTCTAAACTTTTTTTTAAAATCACATTCACAATAGAAATCATATTTTATTAATAACGTAGTGTACATGTATGTATGTAATAATAGTGTCATAAAACGATGTGTTTTCTAATCTTTTATGTAAACAAGAAAGTGTAGGTCACAGTCCTCTAACTGGGTCACAGCTAACTGCTTAAAATATACTTGATGAGGGCCAGCAAGTGCCTTGGAGGTTAAGGCGCTGGTTCCCACATGGCTAGCTCTGTGGTTTGAGTGTTGGACACAGTGGCTTGAGAATCATGCTGGGTGCTTGTTAGTGCTTACCCCAAATCCCAAAATGAGACTGGAGAAGGGATTGCAGCGTGGGGGATGATTTATCTCTCCCCCTCCTTCAGTCTCTCCTTCTCTCTCTCTCTCTCTCTGGCAAGTGCACATGCCCTATAGCAAAAACTTTAAAAGAAAACTTGATAATGTGGAAACAGAGACATTACAACACTCATCCCAGTGGACTTTGCCATTAACTAGAGTTGTCATTTTTGGCAAGTCACATTCCTTTTCCAGGTTTTTTCCATTATTCACAAAATGAATTATATTATTTTAAACATAAAATTTCCATTCAACACTAATGTACCATCTGTTTTTTTGTGCTACCTTGGATTGACAAGAAATCTTACTAAGTGATGTTTGAAATATTAACAATTGCTGTCATTTCAGCATTCAATGAGATACTGGTGATAACTGGTTTAACTGTACCAATTCCTCCAGCTTGTTATTATCTCCCTCAGGTGCTTCTGTTTGCTATTTGAAACAGCCATGGTTTGAAAACCAGACTATTTACTTGTTTGTCACCTTCTTACTAAATCATAATTTAAGAATTATTTCAAAATATGGTCTAGTCACAGTGGTACAGGACACTGCTGTGTAGTACTAGAGCCATATCAGAAGGTCTGGAATTTGGATCCTGGGTCAGCCTGAGAATGCCAGGTACTCCCATGATCCTGGCTGGCTAGAAGGCTGGGAGGAGCATTATGAAATGGCAAGACTCCAATAAAAGAAACTTAAAAGTACAAAGTTTAAAAATAGGGCAGAGGTTGCTTCTGGGTTACATAGGTCAGTGATTCCCTGTCCCGGTTGCTCATTTGAATCACCTTGTAAATTTAAAAAATACATACATGTAAATTGAGACCTAGGCATGAGAATCAAAAGATAAAAAGCTCCCAGAACCCCAGGGCGGGGGTGGGGGGTGACCAGCAGATGGCATAATTGTTACATTGCTGGATTCCCAGGTAGCCGACTGGTTTGAGTCCCAGACTCAGTGGCTTCAAACTCATGCCGGCCATGTGTGTGTGTGTGTGCCCAAGATCCCAAGAGGAGAATAGAGGGAAAGGGATTGCAGTGTGGCCATCCCTTCTTGGGGGTGATTTCTCACTTTCTGTCTCTGTCTGTCCAGGGAGTGCACACACCCTATAGCAAACATCTCTCCCTTTAAAGTAAAAAGTTCCGAGGGTATTCTTATGTTCAGCCAGGATTAGAATCATTGTGTTTTTATCCTCGGGCCATTGGAAACCCAGTTCTGTGATACTTTATCTGTTGTTGGATAAAGTGGAAAAAACTCTGGAATAAATTGCAGAGGAACCATGTTCTGCTTCCCCACTCAGTTGTCATTAGACACCAGTATAAATATAAAAGCCACTTGAACTCTCTAGAGTTAGTTTTCTTGCAAATGTAGTATCAGACTGGTTTTATTGAGGTTCATTTCTATTGAAAATTTCTCCCTATTTGTGCAAATAACATTATTCTCCAATCAGAAAGAATCCATTGTTCAGTATAAGTCTAAGGAAGAACCAAACTTGATAAATTACTTCTTTGTCATTTGCTTGTGAGATGGGAATTCCTTCACAAGGAAAAAATGGTAGTGATATCCATAATAGCTCATTTTATTCCTTACCATGTATTAAGCACTATCCTGAGCACTCATTATTTCATTGATCTTCGGAACACAATCACACAACTTACAACAATCATTATCATTTACTCTTACATTACAAAGAAACTCAGAAAGGTTGAACAACTTGTTCAGGTTCAGGAATGACTAAGCCAACAAGCCTGGCTCCAGAGTCTAAGCCCTTAACCGTAATTTATGTATCACCTTTCACAGAAGCTCTCACTGAATGAGTTAGGTGTGACCAAACTTAGCTCTAAAACCAGATTTCACACCAAAATGGTACAGTGAGATAAAAAAATGAATACCAGTAGAGTGTGTTCTCTGTTGAAAATGTATAGGGTATAATTTCTAAAAATGCATTTTTCTATAGAATTTATAGTGTGCTGATTAATTTCTTTTCATATTTCAGGTCATCAGGAAAATAACAACTTCTGTTCGGTTAACATAAATATTGGCCCAGGTGACTGTGAATGGTTTGTTGTTCCTGAAGGTTACTGGGGTGTTCTGAATGACTTCTGTGAAAAGTAGGTTTTCAAATAATATTTCCTTAAATGTAATTATTACAAAACGGTAATTATAAAGCACAGTTTGCCAGTCTGTGTATCCTATTGAATATATAGTTTTCCCTTAACATTTAGCAAAAAAAAGTTATTGTAAATTATTTTATTCCAAGCCTATTGTTTTTGTGTTATTAGAAGTACTTTAAGAAAAATGCCATAAAGTCACCCCATGCAATATTAGTCATAATTTAGAGGACAGAAAGACCTAGTTATTAGTTTAATTTTTAAAATGACACATAGGGACCAGATAATAGTGTAACTGTAATGCAGCTGGACCCATGGAAAAGATCCTGGGTTTGGATCACTGTGTGAATACTGTGTTGGGGAACCCTGTCTCTCTGCCTCTGTCTCATTCATGGATGAGATGACAAACTACAATTTTTTTTAAGTGATGTATAAATACTTGTTCTTTTGAAAGGTAATGTATACATGCCAAGAAAGATTATTTTATTATAAGTGGTTTTAAGAAATGGAAGAAGCTTTTTTATCTGAGTAACTGTATAGATTGTAACTCAAGCTTAAATTTACAAGGGAATTTCCAAAAGTTCATGGACAAATGGAATTAAATGACACTTTTTTAAAAAAATCTGCTATAGGGTGTGTGTGCTCACTGAAGAGAGAGAAATAGAGAGGGAAAGTGAAGGATGACCACACGGCAGTCCTGGCTCCTACACATTCTCCTCTTGGGATTTTGGGTACACACACACATATACAGCATGTTTTTTTCTAGCCACTGGGTCTGGAACTCAAACTGCATAGTCAACCATGTGGGATCCAGCTGCCTTGACCACCATGCCAACTGCTGGCCCTAAAGTATGCATTTATCTTAGTGCAAAGAAAAAAATATATATATAAAGGAATCATAATGTTTCCATGGTCCAGGACTGGCTGAAGCTGGGGGGTGGATGGGCCAGCAGGTGCTGTAGTGGTTAAGGCGCTGGACTCTCCCATGTGGCTGACCACAGTTCAAAGTCCCCAGTCTGACGGCTTGAGAATCAAACTGGGTACATGTGCATGTGTGTCCAAAATCCTGAGAGGAGAACAGAGCAGAAGGGATTGTTGTGTGGCCATCCCCCCTGGGTGAGTGATTTCTCAGTTTTTGTCTCTCCGACTAGAGACAGTCAGTCTTGCATGTGCCCTATAGCAAAAAATGGAAAAAAATACAAGGACCCTGTTGAGAGTGCTCTTTTTGTTTCTGTTACTCTTGTTCATGGAATAAATAAATAAACTTAAGAAATCCATGCATAGATTTTTTTCATAATAGTGCATTTTTCATAGACTTTTTCAAGACTCTTTTTCTCATTTCCATATTACCAAAATTAATTTTTTTTTTTTAAACTGGCAATTTTTCTTTTCTTTATCTCTCTCTTTTTTTTTTTTTTTTTTTTGCTATAGGGCGTGTGTTCTTTCCAGAGAGATAGAAAGCAAGAAATCATCTCCCAGGGGAGATGGCCATGCTGCAATCCCTTCTCCATTTTCCTCTCGGGATCTTGGGCATGTGTGCACATGATTCCAGCATGAGTTTTAAGCCACCAGGTCGGGGACTTGAACCACGGTTGACTGTGTGGGAGTCCAATGATGTGACTATTATGCCATCTGCTGGTCCCTAAACTGGCAATTTTTCTTAAAAATAGCAGTTATCTGGGGCCAGCAGGTGGCTTGGTGGTTAAGGTGCTGAACTTCTATGTAGCCGACTGCTACTCAGATTTGAGTCCTGGACCTGATAGGCTTGCTTTCTCACCATACCCCCCCACACACACACATACTCACACACATGAGCATGCATGTGCTGGAGCAAATTTAAAAATAATAATAATAGGGACCAGCAAGTGGCGTGGTGGTTAAGGCGCTGGACACTCCCATATGGCCGACCAGGGTTCAAGTCTTGAATCTGGTGGCTTGTTTTCTCACTTCTCTCAGTCTCACCCTCTGTCTCTCTCTGGTCAAACTAAAAATAATAATAATAATAAATGAATGAATTAATAAAGTAAAATAAATAATTATTAAAAAATGATAAATATAATTAAAATAATTATTTTATAAAATAGCAACTTTTCTTATAAAGGAATTTTATAAAATTTAACTGCTTCAGATTTTGTTTTCTTTAGTGAAAGAACTTGCATAATGGAAGTGTTCTTTTCCTTAAAATCTTAGAGATAACCTTAATTTATTTCTGTGTTTTGTGTTAAATAGTAGTTTGAATTTTTTTTTTTTTCTTCTTTTAAATGAGATTTTTGCTCTAGGGTACTTGTGCTTGCCGGAGAGACAGAAAGCGAGAAATCACCCCCCGGGGGGATGCCCATGCTGCAGTCCCTTTTTCTCTATTCTCCTCTCAGTATTTTGGGCACGCACACACACACACACACACACACACACACACACACACGCACGCACCCTGTGTGAGTTTTAAGCTGCTGAGTTTGGAACTTGAACCACAGTCGACTGTGTGGAAGTCTAGCGATGTAACCTTTACGCCATTTGCTGATCCCTGGAATTTGTTTTTGTTTAAATAGAATTATCTAGATAGAACTTTATACTCTTTATCTAGAAAATGCTCTGATGTACACACCTGATACTTTTGTTTACTAATAGCATTGGAAAAATTACTGTAGGGTAATAATTTATAAACATAAAAATTTATAAACATAAATTATACACAGTATTTTGCTTCTTAGTTAGATAAGGGGGAAAAACCCACTGAAAATTTTTACATATGAGATTACTTTGAAAGCCAGTTATACATATTTTCCACATTCTAGTTTGTCATTTCTTTCTTGAGCTTAAGGCTGGTTCTTGGTTTATTTTTTTTAATAAATGGTTTTTGTAAGAAGTAAATTTTAGTTGTAAAACAATAGTAATTCAAACTCTTATATAGTTCTGTGCCACATAACAGTGTTTTGGTTAACAGTGGACCACATATACAGTGGTAAGATTATATACCATGTAGCCTAGGTGTGTAATAGGCAATATCACGATTGTATGAGTATATTCTCATGTTTGCACAATGATGAAATCACCTAATGATGTATTTCTTAGAACTTATCCTGTTGTTAAGCCACACATGACTGTATATAAGCAAAAGATAACTGCCTCAATTTACTGTTTAACATGCAGGTTTCATTCAATGTAAGAAGTCCAAAGATACAGAATTCTAAAGCTTTTGATTTTTTTTTTTTTGAGAGGTTTTCGTTATAGGGCGCATGCGCTCACCAGACAGACAGAGACATAGAGACAGACCGAGAGCGAGAAATCGCCCCCCAGGGGGAATGGCCATGCCACAATCCCTTCTCCTCTGTTCTCTTCTCGGGATCTTAGGCACGCACGCACACATGCCCGGCGTGAGTTTTAGCCACCCAGTCTGGGACGCAAACCGCGGTTGACTACGTGGGAGTCCAGCAACATAGCCATTATGCTAACTGCTGGTCCCAAATTTTTTTTTCTTTTTAAGAACTATTTTCTCTAATTTAATTTATTACTATTATTTTTTCTTTTTTTTGGAGAGGGTTTTTGCTATAGGGCACGTGCACTCGCCAGAAAGATAGAGAGAAAAAGAGAGACAGAAAGCGAGAAATCAACCCCCAGGGGGGATGGCCACACCGCAGTCCCTTCTCCTCCATTCTCCTCTTGGGATCTTGGGCACACATGCACACGCACCCGGCGTGAGTTTTAAGCCACTGGGTCCGGGACTCGAGCTGCGGTCGACTACGTGGGAGTCCAGCAACATAGCCATTATGCTAACTGCTGGTCCCGCTATTATTATTTTTTAATTTGACCAGAGAGAGACAGAGGGAAAGTGAGAAAGCAAGCTACCAAATTTAGGATTTAAACAGTGGTCAGCCATGTGGGATTCCAGTGCCCTTAACCACCACACCACCTGCTGACCCCTAAAGTTTCAAATGTTTAGATGCAATAATCTGATATAATTTAATCTGTACTTGTTTTTATGGACCAGTGGTCTGGTAGCACCAGAGAAAGAAGAGTATCATGTATCATATGGGAAGTCTCCATTGTGTTACAGAAAGATATTTTATTTCTTAACTTCAAGATAGTGTGTTGTTTCAGCTATAGTACAGTGATCAGTGTTCATTATTTCTGTGTAGGTGTTGGCTATTTTTAGGGTAGAGTTTTCTATCTGAATGAAGAGATGTCTTGGGAACAAAGATAATTAGAATAGGCAGATGAAATCCAAAAAGCTTGAGCTTGGGGATAATAAAAATATCAGGATGGTGTAAAGGGTTAGGTGCGTTGAATAACTAAGTCATAGAAATAGCACTTGCTACCTCAGCATTTCACAGTAATTTTGTTTCACATAGGATTGTTGATTCTGATACTTTGTAATTTATTTTATGACTTTAAATAATGTTTTTTAAAGTAATCATTTTTTGAACATATATGGTTAAAACAGTATTTGCTGTAAGTTTTTTTATTTTTATGTTTTCTTTGTTGGCTATTTTGGATCATTTGCTTTCCTTTGGTTAAAAAATTTTCACCAATTTTATGATGACAGTACACGGGTGAAATAAGGGTGGGATTTGTGTGTGTAACCTTTTTTTTTTTTTTTTTTTTTTTTTAGAAGCAACTTTTTCTAGACTGTGTATACTTAGCCATATCACAAACAGTAAGCCAGTCATTATACACTTGCAGTTAGGCTACCATTGGCAGTTTGTTCTAGATTTTTGAGAATAGCCTTGGATGTATTTTTTTAAGGAAAAAAAATAAGAGAGTAAGATTTAATCTGGGTCAAGAGTTGGCCAGTTTTTTACCATAAAGAGACTGGTAAAAAATAGCCTTTTCAAGTCACATGATCTCTATCACAACTGCGCCATTGTAATGCAAAAGTAGTCAGAGATATTAATGTAAATGAATGTGCATGGCTGGGTTCTGTAAAAGATTTATTTACTGAAACAGGTAGTGGAATAGTGGACTGTGGTTTACCAACCCTTGATAAAGACAAAAAAAAAAGAATTTAAATTGATTTAAAAACAACCTTTTATTTTAAAATTTGCTATAGGGTACATGTACTCACTGGAGAGAGACAAAGTAGAAAAGCACCCCCAAGAAGTGATGGCCACTCTGCAGTCCCTTCTCCACCATTCTTTTCTTAGGATTTTGGTCACACATGCACACACACTTCACTTGTCTTTCAGGCCACTACGTCCGAGACTCGACCCTCACAGTTGGCCATATGGGATATAACTACCTTAAGCACCACACCACCAGCTGGCTCCTAAAAATAGCTTTTAAACTATATTTATTTATTCCTTAAAAAAGAGAGATACTCATCCCCAACAGGGTCTTATAACCTGAACCACCCCCAGTCAGCCCTGGATCTTGGGGCACTCCCTTGGCTTGCTTATTCAGGGAGGTCTCTGGATGTGAACTCAGAACATTCCCATATGGGTCACCCTCACAGAGCATTGCATTTTACTACTGCGCCAACTGTCTAACCCACAAACTAATGAAAACAGTTTAAAAGAGACTTTATCATATACTTAAGTAAAAGACAAAATAAAGTGAAGATTGTGTTTTAGATTTTAGGGAAAGGACCATTTCTGCTATACAAGTTCTTCCCCAAAATATTAAATCTGAAATAGTTCATTGAATTTTATAAAACTCTTTTATGGAGAAAGTTTATCATTTAAAAAGTACTTTGTATCATGATGGAAAATACTAAGAAACCAGATATTAAAGGTTTTGTGATATCTGTAGAATGTTCCCACAGTATATGGGTGCTGGTGGTGATGGTGGTGGTAGTGGTGGTAATATTTGTTATTGGGTATGTATGTGATTGTTTATTTTTTGATTAAGTTATTTTTAGCTGCATGGCTTTAATCAGCTAATCATCAAAACCATGAAGACTGATTTTCTCCCACCTTTTCCTCTTTAGATGAATTTGTATCTTCTCCTTTCCTGTAGAAATGGAGAGAAGTTCTTAGTGCTTAACATCGCTATAGTGTTACTGTTCAGTATTTATGGACTTAAATGACTTTTGTCAGTTCCACTTCCATTTTTTTAGGGATTTCTTTGATTTCTAGGAAGAAAGGTTCAATTAAAAATAGCCTCTATTAAAATGAAATGCAAGTTATCATGTATGTTACTTGGAAGTAGCTTTGTATTTCATTTGTATCTTTGAAAAATCAATTTAAGGTAGTAATACTAATCTTCAGATAAGTTATCCAATACTCAGTTGTAAATAATTTCACACTTTATATGCATAAAGCAGTTCTTATTGTACATGCAATTAAGTTTCAGTGAAATGAGTGAACATTTAAAAAAAAAACTTTAGATATATAAGGAACTTATTACAGTACTTGATCCATTTGCCTTATTTTTTCTTATTTCAGAAATAATTTGAATTTCCTAATGGGTTCTTGGTGGCCCAACCTTGAAGATCTTTATGAAGCAAATGTTCCAGTATATAGGTTTATTCAGCGACCTGGAGATTTGGTCTGGATAAATGCAGGCACTGTTCATTGGGTTCAGGCTATTGGCTGGTGCAACAACATTGCTTGGAATGTTGGTCCACTTACAGGTATTTTAAAGAATATGCTAAAAAATGTTTAATTTATAAAGGATTATATCTTTTAGGCATTTTTTTTTATTGAATTAAAACACACAGTTGCAAGAAAAGTGTCTTGAATTAAATGCTATTTTGAAATTCATTTAAGTTAAAAAAAAATTCATTTAAGTTTAAATTAAATTCAAGCTAACAAATGGAAATCTAACACCACAGATCTCAGTAAATAACAAATTTATGTCTTTATAAACACAGAAGCTATACTTTTAATAAGTTTTAGAGTGCTTGGTTTTATTTTATCAAAAAAATTCTTTAGGGGAAAAAGCAGGAGTAGAAATTCAGTCTTTCAGAATTTGTTTTAGTGCGGTATGTCACATGAATAGATCTATTTTGCCAAAATCTGTTTGAATAATGCCTGTCTTTAGGCAGTATTCACTTAAGGTTAAGAATATGGCCTTTAGAGCTAGAAAGTCCTGGCTTAGGACCAGGATCTGCTCTTGTAAGATTGGGCAAGTTATTTAACCTCTCTGGTCCTCAATTTCATCATCTGTATAATGGAGATAATAAAATGAACAAGGTGATAAAAAGATTAAATGAGATGACGGATAAAAATATCTCTGTACAATGCCTGGCACTCTATATTATTGCTACTATTAACTCTTTTTATTACCATGATTATCATAAACCATAAAACCTATTATAGTGTTTTGACATTTTCAGAATTGATGTTGAAGATATCACCTAAGAGGATAATAATGGTTATCTTCGTATCTTTTGGTACTTTAGGTTGCTTTATAACTGTTTTTTTTTTTTTTTTCCCTAGCCTGCCAGTATAAATTGGCAGTGGAACGGTACGAATGGAACAAATTGCAAAGTGTGAAGTCAATAGTACCCATGGTTCATCTTTCCTGGAATATGGCACGAAATATCAAGGTCTCAGATCCAAAGCTTTTTGAAATGATTAAGTAAGTGCTTTCTAAAAACTGCTGTAGTCTCTCTTTTTGGGGAGTGTTAAATAATAAATACTTCCCCCCCTAGAATTATGTTGACATCAAAACAAAATGGTTCAGAAGTCTCTCAAAATATGAGAATCCACATGCTAAAAATACTTTTCCCATCCTAAAGTCCTCTATGGTAGGGAATGGAGCAATGGCACAAATGATTCAAAACCAGTAGGTTCACAAACCTGTGCTTACTCACTCCCCTCTAAACCACCTAATTTCCTAGGAGAACTTTAGTTTTTAATATTGGAAGTCTGCTGTTAGTAACTGAGGAGAAAATGGCATCATAGAGTAATTGTTGTTACAAAGAAATCAGTTAATATAAGAATTTCACTAAAATGTTAAGTTTTAATTCAATCATACATCTTATAATTCTCCATTTTCTTAGCAACTTCAAACACTTAATACAAGTTATATAAATTTTTATCTAGTGACTTAGTTTGACTACATGTGTACTAGTAAGCTTTCCGGTTAACATAGTTTCTATCCTAGAGATAATATTTTCAAATAGTGCTGTGTAGTAGTGTTTCCCTGAACTGTGTTTTCAACTACTACCTTTACTCCCAAAAGATGGAGAATGCTGGTCAAAAAAATATGGGAATTGATGGATTAAATAAAGTTCTACAGGTCCCTTGTAAAGTATTTTAGATACTTTACATGTTATGTTTTGTGAATGAGAGAGAAAAATTTTAATGTACAGTGTTTTTCAAATTTATTTGACCAGTATGTTGTGAAGAATTGATCTTCTAAAAGACCTACTTTGAAAAACACTACTTTATACTGTCTGATAAAATAAGTGTCTTAGTCTGTGTTTACATAGTATTTACATTATTACTCTTGCCAGTAAGATAATTTGAGTAGCATGTGTTGTTTACAAAATACTGTCTTCTGAAAGTAATCGTGGCTTATTGAAATGATTTTAAACCTATGTCCAAAAAATTTTTTTTAAAGATTTTTGTCATAGAGTGCATGCACTCACCAGAGAGAAAGAGGGAAAGTGAGAAATCACTCCCTCGGGGGATGTTCATGCCACAATCTCTACACCTCTCTTTGTATTCTGGGATTTTGGGCATGCACACACATGCACCTAACATGATTTTCAGGCCACCGGGTCTGGGACTTGAACTATGCTCGGCCATGTGGTACTTCAGTGTCTTAGCTACTACACCACCTTCTGTCCCACCATGTCCAATATTTATTTGAAGAACAATTGTATGACCTAGGTAACATGTCTGTGAATTATCAATGACATAGTCCTTTACATTTTGCATTATCTATTCCTGGACAGAAGGGATAGGGGGAGATAATAATGGAACAACAACCAAATCATAGCCAGTAATATACAAATCCTTTAAAACATTGGACCTTTTTGTAACATTCTATAGTTATACTTTATAATGAGGGATTTTCCATCATTTTATCCTACTCTATCTCAGTATGGTGCTTTGCTCTGAGTAGCAAGTTTAGTGTACTTTGAGAAGGAAAGTGAACAAATGTTACTGAAAATGTTTGGTTAGTTGGAGGTAGACATAAACTAGATGGTAATTCAGATCACCTGAAGGTAAAAGGATGGCACACTATAGAAACCATTTACAGCTATATGGACTGAAAGTGACTCATTACATTTTGGACAGATTAGGATTTTATAGTTGGAAAGGACTTTAAGGGTCATTCAGTCCAAACTCTTGCTTAATACAATAATCCCATTGATGGAATTCATAATTTGTGGTCATCCAGTGACTTCATCTCACTGTAATTCTTGAAAGCTTTTTCCAAATTGCCATATAATATACCTCTCATTTATCCCAGTTCCATCAAATGTATCTTGGATTTATGCCAAATAAATCCTATTCAACAAGTATTTGAGAACAGACTATGCCAGATATTATTCTAGGCACTAATGATAAACACAGCAGTGTATATAAGATGAAAAATTGTCTTCAATGACTTCAGTTCCAGTGGAACAAGGCCAGAAGGACCTCCCTCCAGGAAAAATAAGATAAAATAATTACATTAGTCTGTTGTGTTGCTAACAGAAATACACAAGACTGGATGATTTATAGAGAATAGAAGAATTTTGGTTCTTAGTTCTGACACCTAGAAGGCATGGGGCCAACATTAGGCTGGCCTCTGGTACTACATCACAACATGGCTGACAAAAGCAAAGAGAAAAGTGGGCATGTGCAGAAAGGTAGGAAACACTTGCCACTTCCTTTGTTTGTCCCTTCTGTGCTTTTCAGGCAATTTGATGTTACTTTCTCATTAGGCCCCAAATAAAAGTCTCATCACCACCCAAAGCTATTATACTGGGGCCAAGCCTCCAGAATATGAACCTTTGGGTTACAAACCATTATCCAAATGATAGCAGTAATGTTCAGGTTGAGGAACTTTACTGCTTTACTACTATGGTCAGAGAAGGTGTCTGAGAGGGTGTTTTGTGCTTAGCCTTGAATAATGAAATTAAGTCAACTGTGAAAAAAAGATGTAAGGTAGAACATTTTGGATCCAGAAAACAAGTAATGGCTGAATTGGAAACAACTTTGGTATGTTTATGAGATTAAAAGGCCAGTGTGACAATATTGACAATCTCAGTAAAGTGAACAGGAGCGAGACCGTAGGTAGACTTTTAGAATATGGTAAGAAGTTTATGTATTCAAAGTGTTACAGATTGCCGTTAGAGAGTTTTAAGCAGAAGAGGAGTAGGTACTGAATAAGAAGATGGACCTGGTTGCTTTGTGGAGAATGGATTCCAAGGCGGCAAGGTTAAAAATAAAGTTGAAGGAACTAGTAGGTGGCATGGTGGTTAAGGAGCCAGACTCCCACATGGTTGACTACAGTTCAAGTCCCAGACTCATTGGCTTGAAAATCACACCAAGAGGAGAGTGGAGGAGAAGGAATTGTAGCGTGACCTTTTTTCCTGGGGGGTGAATTCTCACTTTCTCTCTCACTGTTTCTCTGGTGAGTGTATGCACTCTATGGCAAAAAACTTGTGTGTGTATACACACACACAGTTAAGCAATTTCAAAAGTACAGACCACTCCAGAAAGATATTTACCTGTAGAAGTAGAGAGAGAGAGAGAGAGATTAAACTAGAGAGTGTTAGGGAGCTAAAGCTCACAGGACTTGCTCATAGATTGGTTGGTTGGAGTTAAAGGGAAAAAGAACCAAGATTCTTGCCATATTCTGTTCTTTGTACCTGACCTTTATTCATTTAAACATTGTTCTATCATGTTTCCTATTATCTTTGTCATTCTTCTTGACTCCAAGATTGTCATTGTCCTTAATGTTTGAAATTGTGGACATCAACCCTTGTATTATCTTTGTTGTAAAGTTTTCTTATGTTGAAATAAGATACACACAAAAAATTGGCATTTTTTTTCATTTATAATTACTGGTGATATTGTTGTTTTTTATGCCTTCTTTTTAGTTGTTTTTTACCTGAATGCACTTATATACTTACCTATACTTCATTGAATCTTGTACTACAAAATTTCTGATCATTTGAATTTGATCATATTCCTCAATATATTAGGAATTCTCCTAGCTTCAATTGTCATGAGACGTGATTAGCAGGCTTTTTTGTTTGTTTGTTTGTTGTTTGTTTTGTCATCATACCAGCTGAAAATGTTAACAAAAGTCCAGACCCCTAGGCCTAACTTTTGCTATGAGGCACATGCACTTACCAGAGAGAGACAGGAAAAGAGGGGGAAAGTGAGAAATCACTCCCCAGAAAGGACCATCACACTGCAGTCCCTTCCCCTGCATTCTCCTCTCAGGATTTTGGGCAGGCACGCACATACACCGGCATCATTTTCAAGCTGCCAGGTCCCAGACTTGAACCACGCAGTTGACCATGTGGCGTTTAGCTGCCTTAACCTCCATACCACCTGCTGCCCTAACCTCTTTCTTTTATTCACAGAGTATTTGCAGACTATACATAAAGCTCTGGACTAGGCACTGAGGATTTATAAATAACTGGAATAGGTTCTATTGTCAACTAAAAGTTAGTACATATGAATAGATTATAAGAAATACAGTGATAGAGTCACTGGATTTTTTCTAGTCTGTAGAGTCAGAGCAGTCTTTTTAAGCTGCACATTCTGGGGTGCAATATAATGGGCATAGGAAAAGTCATGACGTATTTTTCTATGTTTTCCTATGCAAAAATGCATCATGACTTTTCCAGTGACCTATTATTCTGTGTGAAAGGTGAGAATGTGGAGACAGGGAGAGAATGGAATAGCATCTAAAGCTCATGTGAGACCAAGCTCTTGCACCATCAGAGAGATGCCTCCATTCATTCATAAATTAATAGTTTTCATACTTGCTATGTCTTCTTAAGTCCAGCACAGTCACCTTTTCCACCAGTGGAGGAATAAATCCCTTTTCTTCAGTTGAGCACCTGCTTACATAGGGAAGCCATGTTTTATGAAAAACTTTGATTTTTAATTCTTAAAATTATACTCAGCATGGTAAGCCATTTACCCTCTGAGAGACTCCAAAGAACTACAGTGCTATGTAGGAATAGCAAGTGCATATTCACTTCAGGTCATCTTCTCTTCCTCTTACTCTCATTCTCTAATATTTCCCTTGCCTTCCCTTCTAACTTCCTTTACTGCTGTGTGTCTGCCTAAGCTTAGAAAATGTCTGAGATAGGGCTGGCCTCAGTCATTGGTTAAGTGCTGTACTTAGGGAGCCAGATCTCATGTGGCCAACTGCAATTTGAATCTCGTTACCAAAAGGCTTGGAAAACATGCTGAGTACATGTGCATACATGCTCCAAATCCTGATGGGATAAAGAAATGGAGAAAAAGGGGCCAGCAGATGGCATAGTGGTTACATTGCTGGACTCCCACGTAGCTGACTTCATGATTCAAATCCTGGACCCAGTGGCTTGAAACACAGCAGGCATGAGTGTGTGCGTGCCCAAGATCCTGAAAAGAGAATGGAGAAAAGGGGATTGC